GGGGGGGGGGGGGGGAGTCGGAGCCTCGGAGGATTTTACGTGAAATTTGAATTTCAATGTTAAAAATTTACCTGAAGTGTAATTATTATAATAAAGCTTTTTGTGATTGATTGGCACTCTCATACTAAGTTTCGGGAGAAAGAGAGGGTCTGGAGGTCCTCCCCCAGAAAATTTTTCAGTTTTGAAGCTCTGGGACTGAATTTCTAGCGTTTCTAAAGCAAATTCGCAATCAAATTACATGTAAATTGACTGTATTTCACAAAAATAATTGCTTTATTACGCAAATTTTACCCGAAGATGTCAAAATTTTAACTTGAATTTTATATAATTTTTGCCTGAATTTCACAGTAGGGGGAGTATTACACCCCCTCCCACAATTCCCGGTCGCTACGTCCCTGACAACCATTCCTTGCGAAGATATAATGACTTAAATTTCTGAAAATCCGCCATTTTGTTCTATTTTTAGTAACAATATGGCGCATTTTCCGACATTTGTATCGCTATATCTTCCCATAAAATGGTTGTATTTAGAAACAGATTTCAGTTTTAATTTTAATTAAATGTAATTAAAATAATTAAAATATGTAATTAAAAATAATTTAAAATATGCAAATAAAAAATATGTAAATATGTAATTACAACATATGTAAATATGTAAATATATGTTTATATGTTTATATAAACATATAAACATATGTATATACATATAAATATATGTTTATATGTAAATATGTAAATAAAAATATGTAAAATATGTAAATATGTAATTTAAAATAATTTAATTATGTAATTAAATGTAATTTTGTAGTATCCCAGAATCCTTTGGGGGTTCGGACCATTGTGCACTGAGACACAGAACTGGGTGGTTATAACATTGGCGACGAGGATTTTTGTTTTTAAGCGAAACACACGTATAAATGGCCACCTACGGAAAAGTAAGTCCGTTTGATGAAGCAGAAGAAACGTGGACCCAATACACCGAACGACTGGAACAATATTTCCTAGCAAATGAAGTGACAGACGCCAAAAAGCAGCGGGCAATATTTCTCAGCGTGTGTGGCTCGAAAACATACGCATTAATTCGAGATTTACTACAGCCAAAGAAACCGGGTGATACGGAGATAAAAGAAATTTTCAAAGAGCTGGAAAAGCATTTTATTCCAACACCAAGCGTCATTGTAGAGAGATTTAAATTCCATAGCAGAATTCGCCGTGTTGACGAAGGAATTGCTAAGTATGTGGCTGAATTACGTCGAATGACCGAGCGCATTGCAAATTTGGCACTTCCTTGGATGATATGATACGGGATCGATTAGTATGTGGTATCAACAACGAAAAGATTCAAAGACGACTCTTGCAGACACCTGCGTACTCAGTTGGATCTGATACAGCCAAACCTTGGAGATCGGGTGAGGGAAAAACAATCACAGCAAAAGGCAGTACATGACTATCATGCTAGAGAACGGATTATCAAAACCGGGAACCTAGTATATGCGAAAGATTTCAGGAAACCGAAAAGTTGGATGCCCGGGACGGTAGTGAAGAAGACAGGACCAGTGTCGGCAGAAATACAGCTTGATGATGGTCTAATTATCCGGCGTCACCAAGATCATCTCCGCATTCGCACTGATGTTCCTCAAACAACTATAGCGAGTGGATTGGAAGACATTCAACTACCAACCAGGGAGGTGAATCCTGCAGAACCATGGGAAGAACCCGAACTGGAAGCGAGAGCAGAACAAAGAAGACAACCCCATAGAGACCGTCGTCTTCCTCAACATTTGCAGGACTATGAACTAGCAAACAGCTAAGTTGAACTTGTTATAAACCATTATTTAATATGACATTTAGTTAAAGTTGACATTCTATTGTTGTTAGATACAGAGTAGTTCAGATTATTGGACACTGGGAAGGGAGGAGTGTAGTATCCCAGAATCCTTTGGGGGTTCGGGCCATCGTGTACTGAGACACAGAACTGGGTGGTTATAACACAGGTAAGTTTCAGTTGTATCTCTTTTCATATGGCACAGAAATGCCAACTTGGAAAGTAAAATAGTGGTGTTTATGGACATCTGAAATATGCTATAACATAAAAGTATGTCTTTTGAATGTAAAAGACCCAAAAAATATCACATTCAAAATGTTTTGTTATCTCAGGCTTTACAAAATATAACCAAAATGTGTAAAATATTAGCTATATTCGCTATTTTTGGATAGGAGGTCACATTCAATGGGGCCAAAAAACAGCATTTTGGATGTGAATTTAACTTTTTTGTTATTGTTAGGTTAAAGAAAGATAAAACTTACTAAAAATAAAACTTATAGGATAATGGCAGTTAATCGACATAATTTCTGAGGGGTGCGCCCTATCAGCGCACCCCCGGTCATATCAACATGAAAAACCCCCGGTACAAATAGGGTTAAATTGAAGCTTATATTACGTATATATAGAGATTTATTAATGGGAAGTGCTGACGTATGGTATTTTCGCACGCGTTAATTTGTTTTCACAAAACGAACGAGCGAGTGCAACACTGCAATGAGCGAGTGAGTTTTGCGAAAACAAATTAACAAGTGCGAAAATACAATACAAAAGCACTTCCCATTACTAAATTTGTTTATTTCATAGATACTGATATTTTCTATTCACTGGATTGCCTTTAACGTAATTTGGTTCATTCAAAAGCCAAAGGCCATGCAAAGTCAAGATAAAGCACTGCAAAAACAAATAGAGTTTTGTTTAAACTTCATTTTGGCATTGTATATTTTCATTAAATCACTTGTAAAGGACTTTACTCTCAAACTAAATTTGACAATATATAGTCAACAAGGCCTAGAATACTATAACAAATAATATTTTTTCATTCAAATAACTAGAGAAAAACATTAATAATTCGTTTCAAAAACTAAATATAATGCAACTTACATCGCTGTTGTTTTTGTGCAACTGGCATGCTATTGTTTGTGTCTTTTCTATTCCCTTTCAAAAATAGATTCATATTTGTCTTTTGTAGTGTTATAAATATTTTGCAAACATACGAGTTAAGTTATCCAATTCAAATTAAAAATTGACTTTAAACAGCAAGAGAAAGGCAGCAAACTAAATAAAATTCTGCCAAAAAAACATTGCCGACAGCACAGCCACAGAAAATAGACCATGCAGAAGCCTCACTGTACACCTTTCATCCTTTCCCTTAAGGCCACAAAGACCGAACGCGATTCGACAACGCGACGCGAATTTTCAGTTTTCAAAAGCAAATAAAATCGTCAATGGATAAAAATTTTACAAGATATGCAGACCAAATAGCTACAATTGCTTAAGTGGTTCCGAATATTTGAAAAACATAGAAAAATATTAAAGTTAAATGTCATTGAAAAATGAAAATTCGCGTCGCGTTGCCAAATCGCGTCCAGTCTGTATGGACCTTAACATTTTCGTGTCCGCGATTTTTGCCTTGCGGATCACGAATTTCGCACGTCAGCGTCAATTCCTCAAATCAGCGGTTTTTCTTGAAATTCGAAAAACATGCTCAAAGTGTACGCTGCATATTCTGCAATTATTGTGCAAATATTTTACGCTTTTGTTTTTCACGTTGTGTCTTCCTGTTGCGATCGCCCATTGTTTGGACCTGTGGCATTTAAAAACGGTTAAAACAGCAATCTTTATTACCTAGTGATGGCAATTGATGGCGTTGCTCGCGTTTGATGGCGTCGTGATTACACTTGCTGGCTCGCGCCTGCGCATGAAAAATCTTGGACATAATTTTGGCTGAGTGAGGCTTCTGGTCTTTTTTCTATTCTGTGCCGACAGTGAACGAATATTCGCTTGTATACGTAAACACGGGCTAGTGCTGATTGGACAAAACGTTTTTCGCACATGTGAAACAATCGTTTCGCGTTTCTGATTGATTGACGTCAATCTTGAAAGGGTTTTTCACATTAACAAAGCCGTGCGTAAATATCAGTATCTATATAATAAAATAACATACCTAACATATATATGTTTGGGGAATTGATAATTAACGGTGATATTTTTAGGGGATTTTTCATTTGTGAAAATATTCTTAACAAAATTATCGTGTTACCATGACAACTCTATTTTAAATACTTCATGTTCGGAAAATACAATGGTTTTCTCGGCAAGGCGAGGGGTTTCTGTATATAGTTACCCTAAAGCATAGTTAACTTTAACTATTTTTTAACTGCAGTTAAGGCTAACTACTGTACACTTTTATACAACCGGCTTAACTACGGATTAAAGTTAACTACTATTTAACTACTTTTTAAGAATAACTGCAGTTAGCGCTAACTACGTTTTCATACAACTGACCCCTGAACTGCCTTTTATCGATATTACGATAAACTTTGAGTTTGAAATAAAATGAATTGATTTCAAATTCTCGCATGCAAATAACTTTGCTTTCCTCCTTATTTAAATAATTTAATATAATAGAAAAGGGTAATAATCAGTAAATGTACGCTGAAATTGTATGCTATATTTTTTCATTATACGCAACAATCGGTTTTTAAAGCAATTATAAAGCAAACAATACTGTAATAACATCACTATTTAAAACAAACTTACCTTTATTAAGTGAATATCCACATCGAGCAAGCTTGAAAAATATACTTGGCCACGGTGGGAATCGAACCTACGACCTTTGGAATACTAGCCCAATGCCGTCTGCCAACTGAGCTACCCGGTCAGGTCGGTTTGAGTAAGTGATATTTCGGAACTGAGTCTAGTTCCTTCGATATCAATGTAATCTAATTATCATGATTTTTTTCTGTGTTGGTGTTATGTACTCAGGTGAATACGATGTTTGTGATGCTACTCTGAGTGTATATCCACATCGGGCAGGCTTGAAAAATATGCTTGGCCACGGTGGGAATCGAACCTACGACCTTTGCATGGGATACTAGTCCAGTATCCCACTATAGTATCCCAAAGGTCGCGGGTTCGATTCCCACTGTGGTCATGCAAACTTTTCAGCCTGCCGGTGTGGATACACACTCAGAGTAACATCAGAAATATTATATTCACCTGAGTACATAAAATCAAAACCCACACAAAAAATTAAAGAGGCACTGTCATTAAAATTTTTAAAACTGTATAGCAACTTTTTTGAAGATTTTTGTTCCCATGCTTAGTTCTTGAGATATTTCGTTTTGTTTGTAACTATGTCATTTACTCAATTACATATATAATGAGAGATCAGTAAATGTTGTCTATCTTTGCTATATATATTTTATCAAAATATTTCCGTTTGTTAATTTAACCTACATCCAGAGTTGCAAAACCTGTTCAAATTTCCTCCGGGTAAAATTTAAAGTTTTCAAACCTTCCTCAAAGTAAATTAAATAGATATGGTTTCATCGAATAGCAATATACTAGAGTATATAAACTTAACTGATTTTGAAAGCATAACACACAGTACATGATTCTAATATATAAATTTGCCATAATAGATTTATACTTTGGACAAATTGGATAGTCCTTACCTACTATGTCTACATCCTATATCATATATTGAATATAAAGTAATATTTAAAAATGATATTACTGTACTTGTGGTTTTGAAAGGCATTTGAGAGTGTTTAGGTCTTCAGATGTGTGACCCAATTGCCCAATTTCACAATCAGTGAGGCAGTGAATGCTCTCACTTGTTTCAGTCTGAGGCAAAGTGCTAAATTTAAACCAAGCCGTATAGTGCCCTGCATGACAGTTTATGGCAATGTTTGGAGTGGTTTAAAATCAATGGCAATGGCAATATATCTCTATACCAGATGCTGCCAATCCTGCAATATACTTATATAGTTTGTGGGAATTGACAGTGTAGGTATCAAGCACGTAAATAATGATTTCGATTATAGGACATCAATATATTCTGTTGATCTGTATTAAACTTGTATGACAGCTACACGACTCAGTAATTAAGCTGTACTTTTTTTGTCCGACTCGCATCACACATGCTAAAATTTCTTCCTCAATGACTTTGTTTATAAGGCCATTATTTATATAATTATTACAATGTTTAGTTGCTACAACATTGATGGTTTATTTCATTATAAAATAAAAAAAAATTCCTAACATTTAATATTTCTGTGAGTTCTGATTGTGAAGTGTCATAAACCAAAATAAACATATTACAGTACGCATTTCTGTCATTTCCAACATATCTCCTTGAACTAAATGCGAAGTTCCTGTAAAATGCAATGAAATTTCTTTCAACTTTCTGTTTGTTTGAATTGGCAGTTTAAAATGACACTAAAATGACACTAATAAAGGATGCAATGGCGGACGGCTGTATTTTAACTAGCTCTGAGAAACTTTTAGATAAAAATGCTTTTGAATCAAAACTCAATGATTACTATATAAACATGATGATCGCATAAAACTTGTTTATGATGGTAAACGACTGAAATGGATTGCAAGCTTCGAATCATTGAAGATATTCGTTGAACAAATTATTGAACTGAAGGGCAAATGGTCTACGCCAGGTGGCAGCTCTAAAAAATTCACATGCTCCGATTCGGACCTGACCATAACTTGGTACTCCGGTAAACAAAACTCGCTCATATTACATGGTGAATCAAGCTCGGATTTAGCTAACGTGATGATTAAAGTCTGCCAGAAAACATCGCGCGACGACTTTACGGGAATAGCTGCTTTGTCGGTGAATGGCGAGTCAATAAGTAATCCATTAGACAGAGCTATGTACTCGACAACATCAAATACCAATAGTATTGTCGGGCTTTTGGCTACCTCAGTGAATGATACTCCTACATCTGAAGCCTTGTCTATGACTGACATTCAAACGGAAGATCATAGTAAGGTGAGCCCTAAGTCTATTTATCAGAAGTCACCGAGTGTTACGTTCATCAGTGTGACTGTAATTGCAAGCTCTTAACTGTTGAACTGGAAGGGGTTAAGTTGGAAATGGTGTTGATGCAAAAGGATATTGAGTCTAAAACATTCATAGCCAATACAACAAAAGAAAATGATAAAATTAAACACAATTAGAACGGGATTTGGTTATTGAAAGAGAAAGGTGTAGTCAACTTGAGGAAGATATATCTGTCTTAATAAGAGGCAGACACGCTGAATTAATTGAACTGAATCAAACCATTGCCTCCCTTGATAACAAGATTAAGACAAGCGAAGTACTAAATGAGTCCCTCGCGCAAGTGATTGTGCGTATAAATACACAAAAACCAGGTTCGAATTCAAAAGAAAGTGCCGTGAATACATGCAAATCGAAAAAAGAACACTCTCGGGAGGCTAATTTAAGCAAAACCTCCATTTTGTCAGAGAACAGTATGGTTAGTCACGAACAAGCTCTCCCCGTTTTTATGCAGGCTGAAATAAACAATGAAATTCCTCAAAGCGTGTCCCCACCAGAAAATGATAACGCTACATCAGATTTGGAAAACAATAAATCAGAAACACAAAGCATCGATCAATTCAAGCCAACAACAATAACCGAAGCTATCCCAGTGGAACCAATTATGCTGGGTAATGTAAAATCTGACTTGCAAATTATTTATCCAAGCGATAATAATGTCAATGATCCTTTGTCGTCTGCTCCCAATTTGGTTAACTGTGATCTACACGTAAGTTTAGACAAAGCAGATGATAGTGTAATAAATGAGGCTAGTCCAGTGGATGGAGCAAAATCGTTAGGTAATTTATGCAACAATTATTGTATGCGATCTGATACGTATATTGAAGAAATAGCAAGGCCCAGTAATACAAGAACTGTGGACACAAGTAAAGTAGAGCAAGTCATGAAACCCCGGCAATCCAATGCATGGTTAAATTTTTTGCCCTTTATTGAAGTTCCTTACAAACCACTTTCAAGAAAGAAAAGTGACCCGGTAAGATCACTTTCAAGAAAACAAGGTGATTGTGTGGCGTCTCATTTAACATCTTGTTCTAAGTATTCTATTAAAGAATCACAATATCATTTTCGGCGGCGCCAAACGAACCAGAAGCCCCCGCCGCGCTCATTGGAATGGCTAGACCACTTAAAGCTGGTCCGACAGATATTGTCAATGTAGCACCCACCACTAATGCAACCAATTGTTTTTCAATACCCGTAATTACTACAAACCGAAGTGACGAGCATCCCTATCAGTACTACAAACAAAAATCTAACCCTGTGATTAGAAACCTGATCTACCTTAAAAAAGAGAGTCCATCATATCACCCAACCGCCCGAACCTTACCGAATGTGCTTCTCGTAAATGCGAGATCAATTATGGGGAAAATAGATGAATTAAAATATTATTCAAACGAGCATAAAGCTGAAATCATCATTGTCACGGAGACATGGCTAGCGGACAATATACCCAGTGAAGTTGTTAACATCCCACAATTTACTTTGATACGTAAGGATAGGAAAATCGGTTCTGGAGGGGGCTGTGGAATCTATGTCCGTAAAGAGTTTTCAATAAGAACTCGTGATGATCTCTCTGACTCGAGCTTTGAATGTCAGTGGCTAATTATGCGTCCAAAGTGGCTTCCACGAACAATTTCGAGAATTGCTGTTGCTTGTGTATACCTTCCTCCCTCAATTGATCGAGTAAACTTAGAAAAGTTTTATGACTATTTTTATTCGTGTTATGACAAAGTATCATCTGAAAGTCCAGAAACAGGTTTTATTGTGGCTGGAGATTTTAATCCCTGCAGCAACGGTTTTAATATGAAGTGTCTTTCTGACTATT